AGCCTCCCGAACTCAGCCTCTGGTTGCACTCACAGGTTATTTATGTCTATGGTTGCACTACAGCAAATACGTGCCCATAGAAAACAGCGCAAAATCGGACCGAAATGGTGCCGCGCCGCCTTTTGACTCTCGTGGAGAGGTTGGCCTCCATTTTTCAGCAGTAACACTATGCACTCAGCTCTGAATGTAGCCGCCCGCCTCTATCCAAAATAGGCCCGCAATTTGGAGCTTTTTGTGAAAGAAATCCCCGAACAATACCTTTCAGTCCTAAATTCGCGATCTATAGAAATATTTCCACGTTCCCTCCTGATTATGGCATGCCTTATTGTAATATCCCCGACAGATCACAAAATATTAATGAGCTCGCGCGCAGAAATACATGGAACATGGTGGAATAGATAAATACCCTAACTTCAAAACATTAGGAAAAATACTCACGAGAATCTCAGGCGTTTCAAATGCACTTCAAATTAAAGCCCAGTTCATAATTTTCAAATTTCCATTCATTAACCGATGACCTCTGAAAATATTTGTTCGAATTTTATCGCTGGAATATTCTTTAACTGTGCATAATTAAATTCCTTATACCGAGGGGTGAATTTGGCCACGCTTTTTGATTTAGTCACGGGCCGTCTGTTGCACAGACATATAAACGCATAGACCACCGGGTCCTATTCAAAACTACAGGGGTTTTTCGCGACCTGCGCGGCGCCCGTCTAAAATCAAAACTACGAGGCAAACTCACCCCTCGATATAGGGAATTTACGCACAGTTAAAAAATTCCAGCCATAAAATTCTACGAAGCCATTTTGATTGCCAAAAAACCCTCTAACTTAATCTGGCCCAGAGGGATTCAAAACAACAGTGTGGTTGGAACAGTTGAAAAGAAGAGATAGCTGTACCCGGCCGGGAAGAGCAAAAAAGGCGAACGTATTTGGGAGCACGTGTAAAAAAAGTACAGGCCATACTTTTTTTTTAAATCATGGGTATACTATGGTGTACTATTTACGACAAACATTTCTCTCTCTGTAGCCTCCCTCCAGGCGACGCAACTACACGACGCGACGGTACGACGGCTCCCTTGCGGCGTGCCGTCGGGTCGCACCTTCGCCTTCTTGCCATTACGTTTGTATACACACGACACGTCGCGTCGTGCGTCGCGTCATGCCGTCGCCCGTCGCGTCGTGCTACTTTAGGTATTTTCCATGTTGCATTTTTTGCCGCCTAAACGTCGCCCCTTCTGTCGCCTGTCGCGTCGTGCTGTCGTGCGTCGCGTCGTAGATTGTGTCGTGCATCGCGTCGCCTGAAGCACGACGCGACGCACGACACGACGCACGACGCGACGCGTCGTGTGCTGTTGCCCTTTACTTCATGGTGTTTATAGAGGGTGCCTTTACTGTTTTCTTTCACCTTTCTTGCAAAGTACATGCTATTCGCTCTTTGGTGTTGATTTTTCATTGTTTTTATCTCATCGATTCATCGATTGGGATTAATTTCAGTCATATTTTATTGAAAGAAATGATAAAAGTGGACAAGAAAATCCGAATAAATAGGAACTGCTTTCTCAAAATAAGTGGAAACTGCAAGCTCAGAATTCGTCACTCCTTAATTTCCCAGTCAATGATTTCTTTTGTTTTCTCTAATTTCCGTCCAACGCGCTTGCAAAATACATGCCCTGAGACGCAGGCGTTAATTTTTTTTTGGGGGGGGGCTTTTTCATCCGTTCATCAAATTGAATTAGTTGTGTCATATTTTATCCCCCCAAAAAATGAAAACGAGCAAAAAGAAAATCTGCGTATGTAGGTGCTCTCACATAGTAAGTGTAAGCCCAGAATTCGTCACTTTTTTACCCGGCTGATCCTTGTTCGAATGTCTGTCCAATTTCTTTTTAAGACCGATGAAGTTCCCATTTGTGGTAAATTTGTAACCTTATAAATATTTCTCTGTGATCCGTGCCT